GGTGAAATTGAAGTTTGGCCCAGCAGCACAGGGGGAATATTGTGAGTAGAAAGAAAAATAAAATAAAAATATAATAAAGGTATAATAGAAAACATATACACTATATGCAATAAAGTGAAATATGGTGTGCAAGTGTATAATATATAAACAGTGTATAACTGTACATGTGCAAAAGTTTATGCAAAAAGCGACTGCCAACAATGAGCTTACCGTCTGCCGTAGTCTGAAGGACAGTCTGTGGAGCGCCATGATCTGAAACACAGGGTCACAAAATCAATTACAGTCATATTTACTGAGATGGCAAGTAGCAATGGAGTAAGTAACGTGTAAATACTCAGCAGTGTCACGTAACCTTGCGTAAACAGTGAGCTAACAGCTAGCTGCAGCTAACCAGGAGGCTACATCAGCAAACACGGAACCAAAGCGTTTACCTGCGATTCTCTTCAGCACACACTCAGCGAGGACTGCTTCGGTTCGAGCTCATCGGCTGATAAATGCCCCCCGGTGAGGTTTTAAACAGAGGATGAACTGCACACCTCCACACAGAGTCAATGTGCCAGATCTGTCATGGACACCGCCATCATGCAGCACCGAGCCGGAAGTGACGCGAACAATGAGGTCACGCCACGAGCCAGGCGACAACAACTGAGGAAACTATACAGTTGATGATATTTCACCTGCAATAACAATGAGCTGGATTTATGGAGGCTGCAAACACACCGTGGAGGTGTTTCATACATAATTAACAGTGTGGAGAATGATGGTGCTCTTTTAAAGCACTACACGGCTCTGTTCTGACAGCACCCCTGGGAGGGTTTAACCCAATAGGAAGGCCAATTCAGTGCTAACTAATAGATAGTATGGTATAGGAATGGCTCTGTGGAGATTAGGGAAGAAGTTACAAGCCCATTTTACAAAGAAGGGATCCATAGTACCTTCATAATTGCATATAGGCCTCCTTAATGATCAGAGCTGCCGTTGGGACACTTACCTCGATGTGTTTCATACTAAAATGTCAATACCTCCCTTGGTTCCTCATTCTGGTGTCCTATATTGTTCCACATGTCATATTCACCATATCTATATCCACCTTTTAACTACGTACTACTCACTCTACTGTACATACTTGCTTTCTCTCCTTGTTTTTATATTTTTCTTGAGTCTCAATTTGCTTTTGTCCCTTTCTGAAAATAAATGTCTTTATATCTTTTCTATTTCATTACTTACATTACTGAGGAGATGGTAACTAAGCATTTTATCTTTGTTTTAAAACTGATCCAACCTCCCAAAATGTACCTCAAACTGGAACAATATAGCCTACAGGAAATAACTTTTGAACAATGTACTGTGTATGAAACAGCCAAAGCTGGATTAACAACCAAGCAAAGGCCCAGCTCCCCCAGGACCTCAGACTAGGTCCAGGTTCAGCATATGTCAATTATTTGATTGTAATTTGATTAATTGCAAACTAGTTTAGAAAACTTCTGCGTGTTACATGAATTGTTTTAGCATATAATAGTACACTTAATATGCCTGGGTCCAGTTAATTAAATGATTCATTAATTAAAAATCACGGCATAAATAACTTTTGATTAAATAAAATACATTGTACTTTATTGTGCTCAGTCACACAGGGCTCGGGCCCCAGGATCAACATGTGTCATCTGGTTTGTAGTTATTTAATTAATTGCCAGTTTGCTCACCGAATTTTAGAATAATGCATGACTATATGCAGCACAACAACTTAAATGCCATGGACCTTATGACTGTCTCATATAGGTACCCTAAATGTAGTTTTAAAAACTTTATTTTTAGGTGATGTTGTCTTTACATGGTACATATTCTTAAATAAAACGGTTCTTCTTTTTAATTACCAAAAGCTGTTAGAGCTACAGCAAATCTTAGTCAGTCTGTAATGGTTACATAAAGGGGACAAGTGAAATTAATGCACTTAATGGGTATTTAATGAGAGGTCACAGTGTCCACAGTGCAGAAAGAGCAGGAGGAGCTGGAGAAAGAGACACAAAAGCTTATCTTTGTCTCGGGGCCCCAAAGTAGTTTAATCCAACCCTGTGTACAGACAAATACACAACAAAATAACAACAGTGATGGTGTTACTATATATTACTAACATTAGTAAATAACACTACATATAACAACAAAAAACAAGCAATAATAATAATGATATCATTTTTAGTATTTAATTATTACTTTATTTCCATGTTTATACTAAAACATATACGTGTGTATGTCTATTATAAATAGGTTAAGTTGTCTCTTATATAGATTTTGTGTTATAAAGCATTACTTGTAGTTTTGTATATAATATTTTCTGTTTAACTGATGCTTAATAAACATCCCTCCCATATTAACTTTTTGATAAGTGCTCAGCACAGCCTGCCTTTTCTTTTCCTCCCCCAACCAGTGCAAGCTGAATCCCATTTTACAATACGCGACACAACTTTTGAGCCGCTCCCCCCCAAAAAAAAACCCAACCAGCAGCTCACTTTAGCCAAGTCGTCGCCATTTTATTAAGCGTCTAAATAGCCCTCCCCAATCGCCTATTATGAACCGCAATGAGATCCTGTGCTGTATTCACCGTTTTATCTCCTCCTCTGGCCACATGAAAATGGCCACGCATTGCATTCCCGCACATCCACCAACCCCTTCTGCGCTGTCAGCCTGTAACCCCGCACACACACACACACACACGCTGCCGCCTGCTGCTGCGCCCTTTCCAAGCCCGTCGCGCTGACACGTTAACGGGCTTGTATGCAAACGAGAGCACAATCTGAGCCATTATTACTGGCGGGAGAGATGTTAACTTTCCCCGAGAGAAGTGGGCAAAAAAAATAAGATCCAGTGTAACCAGTCTGCCACCTAGCTGCGGAGACGCGCCGACGGAGATCTGTCGACTGTATGAAAACACCCGCGCCAATGTTGTTGCACAGTAGGCTCTGCGCTCCGATGAGACTGAAACTCGGTTTTAGGAGGTGTTTTAACCTCCGCTGGCCTTAGTTATGTAATCAAAGCAACATCTAATGCACCAAAAGGCTGTGGATTGATGTCGGTGCGAAGGGGGAGAGCAGGACAGCAACACCTTAACCTCCTGACTAAACGCAGTTGGCTCCGGGACGCGCTCTCGGGTAAGTAGCCTACGTAGCCTTATTAGAGATTTTCATGGCAGTCTGTATTAATGTGTGCAGGCCTGTCATCATCAGCTCGGGCTCGCAGCACTGTAGGTTAGTGAGGATTTTGTGCATCCGCTTTGCGCTAATTTTATCCCCTTGTTGCTGAGTACGTTTCTCCGTGCATGGTGATATTTCTTATTACAATGTTGCTGACACCAGCAGAAGGGCTGGCAGAGGACAGATAGAAGAGAGGGGGAGAGAGAAAAAAAAAAGAAAAAAAGGTGGCTCGGGGACTAATCCACATCACAAACACCACTAGCAAGCACATTTTGATGCTACGTAGCGCCCCACTTCCATGTCGAGTTTCAACCCGCAGCTGTGTTTGTGTTTTAAGGCGCTTAAATGTGGTTTTTATTTTATTACGGAGATAGGAGTGACGACAACAACAACACGTGCATGTGTGTATCATTTGTAAGTGCGACAGCATCAGGCGGATAGTGATTTTCAGAGGTGCGCAAAGTCATTATGGAGAAGGAAGCCCCTGTTGACGTCCTCAGTAAACCAGTGATAGGTTGCTCCAGTGCGGTAACACCCCCACTGCCCGTACTGTATCTACAGTAGCAACATCAGTCAGCCTACGCAGCTGCGACCTGGGTACACAATGTACGACCAAACACACTTCTAATACACTAACTAGGCGAGAGAGTGTGTGCGTGTATGGGTGAGGAGGAGGGAGACTCACGTGAGAAACCCCCCCCCCCCC